ATCTTGGAGAAGATCAAAGCAGCACGTCTCACTGTGCTAAATGTCAAGATTTATTTTAAAGCTACAGCATGAAGATGGTGGGATTTGCACAAAGATAACAAATACATAAATGGAATAGGAAAGAGAGCCCGGAGCAGACTTGAGCATGTCTGGCCTTCTGGGTTTCCAGAAAAGAGTGCTGTAGGGTTGTGGGTAAAAGACACCCTTTCCAATGATTTTGAAATGGGCACAGGAGAGGAAATATGAAAGTATTATATCTCCCAACCTCTTAGAGGTCTGATACGCTTATGGAACAAGGAGGCGGAAGAAGGAAAGGTCTGATTGGCTAGCATCAGGGGGACTTCCTTATTACACGGACTCAAGTGGACAGAACTCTTGCTTTTTTGTTTTTGTTTTGTTTAAAACAAACAACTGGCCTGTTTTGGGATCTGTCTGCTTCCTTAAAGTTTCAGATTGATGATGTGGCCCTTGTCATGAGAGACTCCCTTCGGGTTTGGTTGGGTCTGTGTGGGCCTGGGCCCTCAACAGTGACCTCCCAACCTTTTAGCTCAGAAATGTTTGTGCAATTTCAATAAAATAAGGAGAATGGCAAGGGTGGGAGCCCCGGGAGGTGTCTTTTCCACGGGAGTGGGGAGCAGCTGGCGGACAGGGGTGGGCAGGAGGGGCCCAGCAGGCATGGAGGGGCGGGAGGCAGGAGGCAAGAGCATGCGCCTGGGTACAGCCTCTGGGTAAGGCTGGGTGGTCACTACACAGCTCCTTTGCTTCATGTCCCTTTGCCGAGCACCTAGCGAAACGGCCATCACCTACTAACCGAGTCTGACGTCTCACAAGGCGGAAGACAAATTACAGACAGAAAGAAGGTTAAAGGGGAAATGTTTATTGGAAATATAAGAAGAAAAACAGCTCCTGGAGGTTTTCAGGAGGGATGCCAAGTGGGTCCTTCGTCTTGGTCTTACAGAGATGAGCAGAGAGCAGGCATTTTCTTTATTAATTGTCCAGTGATCTGTGGGTTTAGAACAACCAATTGGGGCTTAGGCCTTGTGACATAGGCTAAATAAAAGAAAATCAGCTACTCACTTGGGCCAGTTCCAAGGAAACTGGTTACTCTGCATTTTAAGTTTCTGGAAGTCCAGCCGGCAGTAGGGAGGGGTTATTGCCTAATTTAGCATATTCTACTGAATTTCTTTCTGGGAAGAAGGGTTCTTATCTGCCCATCCTTATCCTAACTTTCCACCCTTTTTCCTGTGTTGGCTTTTACATTTTTAAGCTTAACTAGTTGCATGGCTTGAATTAGCTCATAACTCAGACTGTGAGCTATATATTTTTTTTGTATCTAGCTGACTCTACATCATGGCCCAGCCCTTCCTGACTGCCTACTTACAAGCTAACTAACTTAAACTGTCTTGTATGCTAGGAACACTCTTTAATCTAAAGCAACACTTTCAAAGTTTGTTTGCTTTCTTTTGGTACTGCGGTGTCTTGGTTACTTTTCTCCTTGCTGAGACAAAATGTCTGACACCCAAAGTTAAAGGAGGAAAGTTTATTTCATCTCACAGTTTGTAGAGGGTTCAGTCCATTTTTGCTGGCTCCAAGGCAAGGTGGCATGGGAGAGGGGCCTGGGAAAGCAGGGAAGGCAGAAGGCAGCAAGTGACAGGAGCAAGTGACAAGTGACAACTCCCTTTCTGTCCCTTATATTCCCCGTGTAGAGCAACCTTAACCCTACCACGAACTGTGCCAAGACCATTTAGTAATCACACACCTTTGATCCCAGCGTCACACACTCTGGATCCAGCCACCTTTGAAAAGCCCCAACTATGACCACATGAACCTTCGGGGGACATCCAGACACAGCCATAACACGAGGATTGAACCCAGGGCCTTTACACTGAGCTACATCCCCAGCCTTTTCAACCTTTTATTTTCAGACTGGGTCTCACTAAGTAGGTAAGTTGCTCATGCTGGGTTTAAACTTTCAATCCTCCTGCCTTGGCCTCCCAGGGTTCAGGGCTCACAGGTGTGAGCCACCACACCCATCAGTTTGAAAGCTGTTAATGTGCTTTTGCTTTTGCCTGGCTGCTCTGAGGCACACACTTGAATGAAAGGAAAGTGGGATTTACTGCAGAGGGAACTCAAAGAGAAAGAAAAAGGTAATAGGATTTTGGAAAAAAACCCAAAACCTCATTCCTTGGAGGGGAGCCCGGTGCTTTGAGAGGTTTCCTTAAATATGGACGGTCCCTAGCTCATGACTGTTTGACTTAATAATTTTTTCCTCTTTATCATGGTGTGACAGCGCATCTGCTCAGCCATTTTGTTTCCTGTGTTCAGTAGTCACTGAATTGCGGGAGATACACAGCAGTGACAAGCTGGAGATTGTGCCGGATGGTTCTGCCTAGCTGAAGGCTGCTGTAAGTGTGTAGAGCACCTCCAGGGGAGGCTGAAGTAAGCTATGATCTGTAAATTGGCACTATGAAATGCATTTTTAATTTCCGATGGATCACCTGACACTAGGCTCTTCAGGGTGAAACACCGTGGTAAGGAGCATCTGCATTAACCTCCTCCGATGCCCTTCTCAGTTTAGATACAGAAACTTTAACAAATACCGAGAAACGAGAGGGCTGGGAGGCTGGCACACACCCAGAATCCCTGCCTTGCGAGGTGTGGCATGTGAGGCCCGTGCCACCCAATAGTCAAGAGGTGTAGGAGAGTTGGGAGTTCACCGATCCACGCCGGAGGGCAGTGGGCGAGAGGTCTGTGCTGTCGGGGGGAGGCTGAGGTTTCTGCATTTGATTTACTGTGGGGAGGGGCTGTGGCCCGGACGGGGTAAATTCAGGCGATCTTGGGCGTGTCCCCGAGTGGGCGATGAAGGGTGTGCGCCCCACTGTCAGGAGACCCACCTGGGAGCTAGGTTGGAATGCAAACTGTGTTTGAAGTTGAGGCGTGCTGCACAATAATATTGTTGCTTCCTTGAGGCTGGAGGCCTGTGGGGGAGAGTGAGGGTGATTTACAGGGGAAAAGCGCAGGCCCAGAGCCCAGTTTAATTTTCCTTGTCTCCTGTCTACCTATCTTTTCTATACTACTCAGTTCTACCTCACAGTCCCAACCATCACAACCTCACACTAACCGGACAGGAAAGGCGGAGGGCATGTCCCTTTGTTTGCAGACACCATCAGAACTGTACCCATCACTTCCCTTCTGGTCTCATAAACCCGATCTTATTCTCACAGCTTCTCTAAGCTTCATGGACTGCTGGAATGACAGCCACACAGTCACCTAAAATGTGGGGCTTCTATAACCAGAAGCAAGGGAAGGAAGGGATGCTGGGAATCTCTAGCAGTTTCTGCCCACGCTCTTCGGCATGTTAGCAACCATACCCGGGGAGCAGGGAAAGCCTGCTCACATGCCTCCCGCTTCTGGCTCCTGGGGCATTGTGGGAGGCTGAGAAAAACAAAGACAGTAGGTGTAACCCAGCAATTCTACTCTGGGCATGGCTGAAGGGCAAGTAAATGAGGTCACCTGCAACACAAAGCTGGTGGCCCAGGTAGGTCCCAGCCTGCCCTGTAACCAGCAAGGCAAAATCGAATTTTAGAAGTTATTTTTTTCTTTTCTTTTAGAGATAAGCAGCTCCTGCAAACTTCCTCCTGCTCAGAGCATAGCCATAGCCATCATGCCCTCCTCTCCTCGGCCTAGATAAGCAAAAATGAATGTGCAGATGCTGGCCCCAGGGGTTGAAGTCCAGGGGAGGTGAACAAGCCTGGTGCTACACCACATTGGGTTCCTCCTCTTGTCTGTTCTTTGCTATAAAGACCCTTGCACACCTGGGAATGGGGAAAAGGCAATTTGAGGCCAAAGAGGCCCTTCCATTTCCTTGGTGCTAGCTTTGAATAAGGGCTTTTCCCACCCAAAATAAATGTCTTCCTTTGGTTTGGTCAGCGGCGAGCAAACCATCCTGAGCCTATGGACCCATGTGGCCAGTTACACCAAAGTTCAGCTGTTCAGAACCACCTGGTGTCCTACTCTGGTGCTGGCAGAGCTCAGAACAGTTGAGAGTCTGCCAGGATCTGGCTTTGTGACAGGCAGAGTAGTGTAGATTCATAGGAAGGACTGCCAGATTTACCAAATAAATACACAGAGTTCCAATTCAGTTTGGATTTTAAATAAACAAGGAATGTGTTTTTAGTATCAGCATGTCTGTGTCCCATTCATCATTTATTTGGAATTCAAATGTAACTGGGTGGTCTGTCTTTTATCTGGAAACCCTACAAGCCTAGGGTTGTAGGGGCTCAGGCAGGTCTCAGAGGAGTCTGGAGGCCCAGTTGGAGCCAGTGGAAGCTCAAGGCAGGTACAGGGACCTGCAGGCATGGTCTGATCCCCAGAGAGATAAGAACCCACAGTGACCACCCAGAGACCACTAAGTCCCACTCTTCTCTGTGCAGAGTGACCTTCCCCTTTCTGCTCCCTAACATCAGAAGCCAGCTCTCTGGAAAGAAGCATAGGAGACGGGACAGAAGGGAAGCCTGGCATATATTTCCCCAGACACTGAGCATTACCCTAGTGTCCTTCAGAGTGTCCCTCAAACTGCATTTAACTTGGGTAGGATGAAGATAAAAAGAATCACTTATTTCTTTTTATTGCTGAACCACAGGTGAGGGCTGGAAAATTCCTAGTTTCATGCAGACCAAATTGAGATCTTCCCTCTCCTGTGCCCACTGAGCACCTGGGGCTGAGATGGGTGACCCTTTTACTGCAATTGTCCCAGGGCTGAAGGCCTACAAGGGGCCCCTGGGCTTGGGGGACAGCGACCTGTCTACTCTGTCCTCCTCCCAAGTCACCACCTCCTGCTCCCACTCTCCTTGCCTGACCAGCTGGGCTGGTACAGATCTAGGGCCAGTATTCAATGGTCTTAGTCATCGTCCCACCCCGGACATTTGTGGAAGCTTGAGGCCTCATAAAGCTCAGCATCTGCAATGATAATAAATAGGCCAGTTGGCTTGGCTGGGGGCAGGATGCAGCCCAGCCTGGAAGCTGTCACCTGCAGGACACCAGCCTGGGGGGACGGAGAGCAGGCCCTTCTCCCTCGCATCCTCAGGGCTCAGAACACTGAACTGTTCCACATTTCTGTGAGCTCCGGCTGTGCCAGAACACTGGAAGTGCCCCCGGTGCACGGGGGTGCCAGTGTAGGAAAAACTGTGTCAGAGGACAGCTACCAGCACCACGAGCTGATTCCAGCCTTTCCCTGTCCACAGCGTCTGTGAGAGGTAAGGAGCTGAGAGACTGGACTTTCTCAGTTTGGGGACCTCCCCATTCAGCCCTGCAGCCTCCTCTGCATGCACTTCCCTGTTACTTTCCAGGTCCTTCCATAGATGGGACTCTTTTTATGCCTTTTGGAACTGATTGTAACAGCTCTCTCGTCCCTTTGTTGATTAACGAGTAGGATACAATCTTTAACATTTATTGATATTTATATTGGTATGGGAATAAAGATTTTATCATTTTCTGAAAATTTTCTTTAATGAGGTTAGCAAGACTGAGTTAAAAATCTAATTTCTACCACTTAATTGACTTTTAGCTTCTGGCAGATCGCTTCACCTCTCCGAGATGAACCTCAGCTTGCTCCACAGTGTAGACTGTTGAGGATGCAGCAAAAACAGGCAGCCGGGCACTTTCCGCGTCCTAGGCTGAGGCCCCGCCCCCTCCCTAAGGCCCCGCCCCATCCCGCTGGCATCAGAAACCTCGCCGCCAAGCCCCGCCCTCAAATCCAGCCCCGCCCCAGCCCTTCTCTGGCTATAAAATCCCCCGCCCGCTCGCCAGTAGCGAGCTGGAGCCCAATCGGAGCGGGGCCGCTGCACTGTGTACTCCCCATTGGCTGTGGGTGGCGGCGGGGTCGGGCCCGGGCCTGTGATTGGCTGACGTGGCCGGTGACGCGTGTTCCGAGCGGCCCGCGGGCTCCGGGCCCCAATGGAGGCCGCAGCGGCGCTGACCCGGGCTGCTTCGAGGCGGCGGGGACCGGCGGCCAGGAAGCCAGGGGCGCAAGAGGAACCGGGGCGGCGGCCGAGGCGGCGGCGGCCCGGGCGGAGGTGAGGACGTGGGGCGCCGGTCGGGGGAGGGTGGGCGCGTCCTGGACGGAGGTCGCCTGGCGGACGGGTGCTTCCTCTCCGTGCACCGCGCGGGTACAGCGATTGGCTTCCCACGCCCCAGCGCGACAGGCCACCGGACAAGCCGGCGGCCGCTACCCTGGGGCCTGACAGGGTCCCGCCCCTCCTCCGAAATAGGGTGCAAGCCTGAGGGCCAGCATCGCCGTGGCCTCGCGGGAGCTCGAAGCCAGGCATTTGCCGGCTGGTGGGAGGGGTGGCTTTCCAGAGGGACATCTGACCTGAGTCGCTAGGGAGCAGGACTTCAGCAGGGGGAGAGAGGGGACGGGCCAGAGAGGGAGGACGTGCCCTTGGACCCGGGCCTTGTTCCCTTTGGGGCGTTTGCCCTCGGCAGGCTGCTGAGGGGAGGCTGGGAGCGAAGAGATGGCACCCCTAGGTTTGTTTCTAAACCCAAAGCAGTGAGCCTGGGGGCATGGCTGGTGGGACTGAGGTTTCTGGATAGGAAGAATGGTGGGATGGCTCTTTCCCTCTACTGGAGGAATGGGTGGCAACAGAGGTGGACCTGGGTAGGCCAGATCCCTCCTCGAAATCCTTTGGGGGACAAAGAAAAGAAGGGTAAAGAAATCAGCGAAGAAGGAGGCTCAGGAAGAGGAAGTGGGAGAATGAAAAGGAGCGTTTCTGCAGCATCTCCACTTCAGTCTGTCTTACTCCCCCCCAGCCCCTGCAGTTTCTAGAGTCCCTCAGTCTCAGGTGCTGGGGCGATGGCAGGCAGCAGGCCTCTGTGCACATGGAGTGCTGGCAGGTGGTAGAGGGCAGAGGGCAGCCTGAGGTATTGGAAAAAGTAAGAGACTTTCAGCTTTCACGCCTGTGGCCCCAAAGTAGCCACAGCAGTGTCTTCTCACTGTTTTTAAAAGAATTTCTTTTAAAGCCAGGTGTGGTGGCCCAGGCCTGTAATCCCAGCCCTTTGGGAGGCTGAGACAGGAGGATTGAGAGTTTGAAACCAGCTTGGGTGACTTAGACTGTGTCACAAAATAAAAAATAAAAAGGGCTGGAAATGTAGCTTAGTGAGAAGGCCTTGGGTTCCATCCTCAGTCCTCCCGCCCTCCAGATAACACTAATTTAGACTTATTCAGGGTTTCCCAGCTTAATGTGCTATAGGTACTCTTTCCCCTCATCATCCACCCATGAATACTGAAGAGTTAGTGTTTTGTGGTGTACATGTAGGGAACCATGGACTGGAGGGAAAGCCTGGCCCCTGCTTTTAGGACCTTACCTTTGTGAGTGCTTTGACTAGCCCTTGTCCTTTGGCCAGAGCAAAATGTGTGGGTGTGGCGTGGGGCATGTGAATTGGCTGTGTTGGCGGGGAAGGAGTTTATCCATCAGAGGGTTGGGAGGGCTGGCTGCTAACACAGGTGCCAGGAAAGAGCCATGTTCCTGAGTGCCTCTGTCTCAGATACCTGCTGCTGTAGTCTCGGTTAAATAATATAAGCCATGTCAAGGTGCCACCTCACCATTTGCTTCCAAGTATTCTTTACTCTTTTATTTAATTTTTTAAAAATTCTCTTTGCTTAGAACCAGAGAGGAGCCAGAAGAAGAAGCCGTCTTTCGAGAAGTGGTCCATTTTAGTCCGGATCCTTTGCCAGGTGAGAAGATAGAGGCTCTGAATAACACTTCCGAGCCCACTCTCAGGGTTCTGGGTAGGGCAGCCCCCCACCCCCCTCAGTTCTATCTGTCATTATCAAGGCATTTCTCTGAATCCCCTAGTTTCCACTAATTCCTCTCTTCTCCCTCTGTGGACCAGTTAGATATTATGACAAGGAAACCACTGAACCTGTCAGCTTCTACCTGTCTTCACTGGAGGAGCTGCTGGCCTGGACACCCCTCGTGGAGGACAGCTTCAATGTGGCCCTGCAGCCCCTAGAGTGTCGCCAGCCCCCGCTGGGCAGCCATAGGCCCCGGACCCTGGTGTGCCATGACATGATGGGTGGATATCTGGAAGACAAGTGAGGACGTGTCGGGCATTGATCTCATCGCTGGCCATCCTGGGGGGTTGGGGAGGAGACGGGCAGAGTTTTAGGGTGCCCAAAGCTCTGGGGGCAGTCAGGAGACCGGATTCTTGGCTGGGCTCTGCCACCACCTGGAGAGAGACCGAGGCCTCAGTTTGGCTGCACCCATGAGAGCGCTGGGCTGTGTGGTCTCCCATCTCGGCTCCAGGATCACAGCATGGAGTCCCCTGGTCCAGATCTGCTGGCCCTGGCTCTGGTGTACAGAGTGATTAGTCTCTCTTCGGTCGCCCAGCTCTGCACATTCCCTCCAAAGTGGGATTTTCTTTTTTAGGCAGTACTGGGGATTGAACTCCAGGACCTTTGCACTGAGCTGCAACCCCAGCTCTTTTTTTTAATCTTTATTTTGAGCCAGGATCTTGCTAAGTTGCCCAAGCTGGGTTTGATCTTGGGATCCTCCTGGAGTCTTAAATGTCCATAAAACAGCCTTTGATGTGGTGATTGACGGGAAGGCTGAGTCAAAGCTGGCTACTGAGGCTCAGACAGGCTGGGGTGAGCTGGCCTTGCAGAGGAGACTGTGTCTGAGGCTGCATCGGGAGCGCCGCAGACCTCCCTGGGCAGAGCGGAAACCAGAGACGTGGGGCTGCTACCCGAGGCTTCTGTCTCCTTCTCTTTTGCCCCCTGCTCAGAGGCTAAAATGCTCAGTGCAGGCAGATGCAGTGTAGATGCCTGCTGCTGTGGTGAAAGCGGTTCCCTCCTGGGCACCATAGCTTGTGCCCCCTGCACGGGGCCTGCACACGGCACCTGCATGGTTAGAATGCACTGAACAGAACAAAGAGGTGTCTCCTCAGGGTTGCTCTCTTTATTCCACAGTCACTGTGTCCTTGCTCTGTCTCCCGGGCCCTGACCTTGTTCTGTTTCCCCACCCAGGTTTATTCAGGGCTCAGCGGCTCAGAGCCCCTACTCCTTCTACCACTGGCAGTACATCGACCTCTTTGTATACTTTAGCCACCACACAGTCACCATCCCCCCAGTGGGCTGGACCAATGCTGCCCACAGGCACGGGGTCTGCGTGCTGGGTAAGAGCCAGGTTCGTCAGCGTCCCTGCCAGGTGACCTGGTGATTCACAGCAGGGACTTTGGTTCTTAGTGAGCAGGAGTTGTGCTGGGGTGGCCACCCGCTTTCCTGGAGAGGACCCGAGAGCAGATATTTTCAGTGTTGTGGGCCATTGGTCACTAAGGTAATGACCAGCGGGAAAGCAAGCGTCAGCAAGGGCCAGGCTGCGTTCCAGCAAAGTCACTCACACATGCAAGGTGGTTGGGTTTGGTGGTCTGAGGCCGAGGGTCTGCTGGCCCCTGGCTGCGTCAGAACGGTGTCTCTCCAGGTCTGGTCCGGGTCCAGACCATTTGTGGGCCTCTGTGACCCTACTGCTGGGCTCCACCCAGTGTGTCTGTCACTAGGTGTCTGGGGGGCAGGGCGAGGGTCTGAATGTGTCACAAGCTTTCTGGTGGCACTGATGCTGCCCATCCAGAGACCACACTTTGCAGCCCTGCAGGTCAGAGGCAGAGCCAGCCACTCGGTGACCTCAGGCCCCCCTGTCTCATAGGAACCTTCATCACCGAGTGGAATGATGGGGCGAAGCTCTGTGAAGCCTTCCTGGCTGGGGATCCGAGCTCCTACCGGGCAGTGGCCGATCAGCTGGTCCAGATCGCCCAGTTTTTTCGTTTCGATGGCTGGCTGATCAATGTTGAGAACCCGTTGAGTGTGAGCTTGGCCTCCATCCTGGCGCCTGCCCTCGCCCAGCCCTTGCTTTGCCTGCCCTGTCTTTGTTCACTTGGCCCAGCTCACTGGAGTGTACACATTGCTGACTTCCGTGCAGGGCCAGCTGTGCCCTCCGGGTGACCTGGCATTGAGGCGAGTCTTCCCTACTGCACTCTGCTTCGCTGCTGCTTCAGCATAACCACATCTTTCCTTTTCCTCATCTCTGCTTCCTTTCCGCGGCCACCCTGCCCTTCCGTTGCATTGTATCTTTTCCTGAGTTCTTGTCCAACACAGGCAAGCCATACCTCTTGGTGGCTGTAGGGTTTGGGGCGCTGGGGACCAGGGTGTCTGTGTGGTCCTGTATATCCTGTGCTGGGTGTTTCTCATGACAGACGGGCCTCACCTCACCAGAGGTCTGATCTTCATTCCTCTCTCCCAGGTGGCTGCTGTGCAGAATGTGCCTGCTTTCCTGCGTTATCTGACCGCTGAGCTCCACCAGCGCATCCCGGAGGGGCTGGTGCTCTGGTATGACAGTGTGGTACAGAGTGGGCAGCTCAAGTGGCAGGATGAACTCAATGAGCACAACCGGTGAGTTCTGGGAGGGCGCTGCCCGTCTCCTTGGGCGGCAGGGGTCAGCCCGCTTCGGGTAGAAGAGGGCCTCTGGTGCCCTCTACCCTCCCGATCGTCAGCATGCCGGTCAGTGCCTGGTCTCCCTGGTCCGGTGCAGAGGCTGCAGGTGACCACTCATGGCTGGGCCCTGCTCTTGGGGAGCAGACGTGTGCCTGGGCCATGAGCAGTGAGAATGGCCTTTCTGGGTAGACTCCCTATCCCACCAGGCCTGGGCCTCAACAGCTCCCTGTCGTCTCTCAGGATCTTCTTCGAGGCCTGTGATGGCTTCTTCACCAATTATAACTGGCGGGAGGAGCACCTGGCGCGGATGCTGGGACAAGCCGGGGAGCGCCTGGTCGACGTGTACGTGGGCGTGGACGTGTTCGCTCGGGGGAACGTGGTCGGAGGCGGGTTTGACACGGACAAGGTGGGCGCGCCCTTTGTGCCGAGGGCCGTTGGCCTGTGTGCCCTCCCTGGCCTGCTTTTCCGGGGAATGCTCTATTCTCCTCTGTGCCTCAGGAGAAAGAATGGTCGCAGTTGTTCTTCCCAGAGTGGGGAAACTGAGGCACCGAGGAACACTGGTGACCTGTTCTGAGACTAAGCTGACCCCATGAAAGACCTTTTAGTCAGCTTCATCCCCAGCCCTTTTAAAACTTTTAAATTTTCAGACAGGATGTCACTTAGTCATTAAGTTTCTCAGGCTGGGTTTGAACCTAGAATCCTCCTGCCTCAGTATCCCAGAGTTCTGAGACTGCAAGCAGGCAGCACTGAGCAGGGCTACAAGTGGATGCTGTTATCTGGGTGTTTGTGGGCAGAAGCATCCTGTTCCCATCCTAGTCTTGTCTTTTGCCCTGACTTCCTCTCTGGACTGTGGGCCTTGAAGAGACTTGAACTTGCCTGCTGCACCACCATGTAGACGCAGAGACTCGGAGGTGGGGGGGCTGTAGTGCCTCTCATGGCAGCCCAGAGCCGGAGGCGGAGGGGAAGCACCACAGTGGGAGACCTGCTCATGTAGTGGCAAGTGAGGTTTCTGGGCAAGGCGAGTGGTGTCAGCAGTGAGGGAGGAGGGCACCAGGCTGCACACATGCAAGGGGAGAGCAGGCTCTGTCTCCTGCCTGTCAGTGCTGCCCCTTTCTGGGTAGCAGGGATGTGCTTAGTCGCTAAGGGTTTTTTTAAATAAGTTTTTTGGTAGTGGAGATCAAACCCAGGGCCTTGGCACCGAGCTACATTCCCAGCACCAGCACTTCTTCCCTTTTTGAGACAGCGTCTCACAAAGTCACTAATTTGCCCAGGCTGAGCTTGAATTTGAGATCCTCCTGCCTTGGCCTCCCAGAGTGCTGGGATTACAGGTGGGTGCCACCATGCCTGGCCAAGTGAGCTTTAAATAATAAATTAATCCAATAGCTGGAGAATCTTTTTCTCCTCTGATTCTAATTGTATGATGAGCAGTGTATGAGCAAGGGAGAGGAAGTCAAGAGCCAGCACTGTGGACAGTGCCCCAGGCCTGCACCCTCCGGGCCTTCCTCCTGCTGCCTCTAGCGCCCACCACTGGCCAGTTTGCAGAATGATGGGATAAATCCCCAGTGGAGACTGGATGGGTGTGGACAGCTGCTGCTGATCTGGCTTGGAGGCCCGGCCCCTGTAACCTGGCCGTGTGCTGTCCATGGTGCCTGCCTGGACGCTGGGGTCCCAGTGTAGCTGATACTAGCACCTCCCTAACTTCCGTCCCCCCAGTCGCTGGAACTGATCCGAAAGCACGGCTTCTCTGTAGCTTTGTTTGCCCCCGGCTGGGTGTATGAGTGCCTGGAAAAGAGCAGCTTCTTCCAGAACCAGGACAGGTGAGTCCTGCTGCATGTGGGTGGCTACAAGAATGAGGATGAGGGTGAGGGGGCTCATGGGCTGCTTTGGCTGCTTTGTGGGGCACTCCTGGAGCCCAGCTGGGCATGAGGGAGCAGAGTTTGGGGGCTCACTGTGGGTGGGGAGCTGCAGTCGCCCCGGAAGACCTGTCCTGGGGATGCAGGAGAAGCTCCATTTACAACCATGGGTGAGAAAGGCCACTTGACTCTTCTGAGCCCGGCCTCCCTGTGTCTCTGGCAGATTCTGGAATCTGCTGGAACGTTACCTGCCCACACACAGCATCTGCTCCCTGCCCTTCGTCACGTCCTTCTGCCTGGGGATGGGGACACGGAGAGTCTGCTATGGACAGGTGGGCAGACCACCGTGCGGGGTGCTCAGGGTGGGGAAGGTGCCCTACCTCATGTCTGCCGTGGCCTCAGCTGTGCTGGGTGGGAGGGAGCCACAGGCTGCAAGCAGAGGGGCCAGTGGACTTTCTGGGTCCCCCCCACATGCTCTGCCTGCCTCCCCCCAACTGTCTGGTCCTCCCCCTCCTTCAGGAGCAGGCCGTGGGGCCTTGGTACCACCTGAGTGCCCAGGAGACACAGCCCCTGTTCGGTGAACACAAGCTGCCTGGTGACGGCTGGGGCTGGGTGAAGGTGCACTGCTGCCTAGCAGACTCCTGGCATGGGGGCAGCTCGCTGCTTCTGCAGGGGGTGATCCCGCCTGAGGTTGGCAGTGTGGCTGTGAGGTATGTGAGTGAGGAGGCGGGTGTGGGCCATCAGCTTCTCCCCCCGGGCCAGTCACAAAGCAGGGCAGTGCAGCAGTAGAGGACAGAACTCAGATTGTTTTTAAAAGCAATCATGGTAGAAAACACATAATGTGAAACTGTCAGAACCGTTCTCAAGTGTCCAGTCAGCGGTACCAGTGCGTACAGGGTCATGCAGGAGATCTCCAGGGCTTTGTCATTTTCAAAGGTAAAACAGCCCTCGTCCCCAGCCCTGGAAGCAGCCTTTCTGCCTCTGAGTGTGACTGCCTGAGACAGCTCGTGCCAGGGGCATCACAAAGTGCGCCAGAACCTCCCCTCCGGCCCGCAGGAGAGTCTGGCCCCGCTTTGGCTGGGCAGAGCGTGAAGCTTTGGCCGCCGGGCTCCCTGTCCCTGGCAGACTGGGGCTGGTCCGTGCGATTCAGAGCAAGTACCAGTGTCTCTGCCGGTCCCCTCTGGCCTCTCACAAGGTCTTTCTCCTCCAGGTTGTTTTCCCTCCAGATCCCAGCACCACACAAAATCTTCCTGTCCTTGGTGTATAAGCTTGAAGGGTCCACGGATGTCACGGTTGCCTTGGAGGTCTCTATGGGGGATGCCGACAGCTGTCATGTTGGTAGCATCTCAGTGCTGAATGGTGAGGAGCTGGCTGCTGGGGGACCCAAGGAAGGGAAGTCTAGAAAGGCCCAGGTGGCAGGGGAGGAGCTGGTACTGGGTACATCCTGCCTCGGTGGGAGCTGCGGCAGCCTGCGGTCCAGGCCTGGACTCGGGGACTCACTTCAGGGCCAGAACCTCTGCTTTGTGGCTCTGCTGGGCATCAGTGACCTATGTGGGTAGAATGTGGACTTCCTGCTGGCTAGGGCATTTCAAAGGACAGCCGTGGGGAGAGGAGATGGCAAGTTGGGAAGCGCCAGGGCGAGTGAGCCTGGCCAACCCCAGGCATGGGCCTCATTTATTCTCCTCCGAGCCCTTTCTGGGGGACCCAGACCCTCCGTGCCCAGTCTGATCTCGGCTTTTCTGCCGAGGGGACATCCCACTCCCTCTGCCCTGTCCCCACATTTTCCTTCGAGATTCTCTTTTCTCAAGCCCTTGTCTCCCCCTCTAGCAGAAACAGGTTCAAGGCACAGACCCCGACCCCTCCGGGTGCCCCCCACCAGACTGGCCAGATGGGCCAGCCGCTGTGGCCAGCAGCTCAGCGGGGGCTGGATCCAGAGGTGAGTCCCTCCACTTCCTGCCAAGGCCAGGAGGAGAGCCGCCCTCAGGGGACCTGAGGAGGCAGGGTCCCCTTCAAGAGTCCCAGGCCTGGAGGAATGGAGGTGCTCGGGGCTGACTGTCTGGGTTTGGGGCAGCACTGCCACAGCCCAGGACGCTTCCTGGCAGTGCTCAAGGTCGCTGCCGGGAACTTCCTTTGGCCCACGGGCCCACACCCCAGAGTACAGTGGGTCATCCTCCCTTCCGCTGTGGCTGGACCACTGCACAGCTGGGCTGGGTGCCGCCGTGCTGAGCCAGCCTGCAGTCAGCCATGTGCCTCTCCCAGGTGCTACGAGGTGAGCCTGCGTGGGTGCCTCCTGCGGGACCTCTTTGTGAACTTGTCACGGCCGCCAGGTAGTCAGGAGGAGAGCTTCATGTGTCGCCTGGGCGAGATCCAGGTGTGCAGCCGGGGGGTGGGTGCGGAGGGTCCTGGAGGAGCTGGAGCAGTGGTGCAGGGCGGGCGCTCAGCCTCCCGGGTGTCAGCTGTCTGCGCCTTCTCTCCTGCCAGGTGGTGGATGCCGAGACCCTGCTGGCCCCTCTGCCCCAGGTGCAGAGCGTCACCATCTCGCAGGTCCGCTGGCAGCCGCCCACCTCTGAGGTGGAGGGGCCTCAAGGCCGGCTGAGGCTCAGCTGTACCCTGCACTGGTCCTACCTCCTCCTCCAAGCCCGCTGCTTCAGAGTCCACTGCTGGGAGGGGGCGAGAGGCAGGGAGCCGCCGGGGCCAGAGAAGCCCACGTTCCTGGGCCTGGCTTTTGTTAACCAGTACCGGGTGGTGGACTTGGCGGTAAAGGCCGCTGGGCCCGGCCAGGAGGGCCGTGTGGAGTTCCTGGTGGAGCCCGTCCCCAGGGAGGGCTTCCAGGTCTCTCAGGCCGAGTGGGGCAGGGCAGCCCTAGTCTACTCCGTGCCTCTGTGAGCCGACACTGCCTCACCCGACTTGCCTTGCCCCTTGGCTGGCTGCCAAGTTCTCTCTGGGACTCCGCTAAGTAAGGCCAGGTGTCCTGAAGGCTGGGTCCCCAGGATGTGGTGGCCAGGGGTGGGGAGGGGCGGCGTTGGTCACAGGAAACCAGCGTGCTGAGTGATGGTGCCCAGGTGGGCACCGGGCCTTGGGTCTGCATGTAACTCTCTCCACAGTGTGCGGTTCTGAGGGAAAAGGGAAAGGACGTGGGGAGGTTTTGTCCAGAAAACTCCATAAAGGATATTTTCACATAGGTTCAAAGGTGTTGGTGCTGAGAAGAGTGACCTTTGATTCCTGCAGGTCCCACGATGAGAAATGAACGTAAATCATGGCAGGAAGGCTTTGGAGCAGGGCTGGGGGCTGTCAGAGGACCTCAGAGGGCTGGGATGCAGCCTGAGGGTAGGGGCACAAACGAGGGGCCCAGAGTGGCAGGAGATGGTGCCCTGGAGCTCAGGGCCGGGCTGGCACAGCATTACACCCGGCCTGAGCAGGGTGGGCCAGCCTGGTCTGGACCACCTCCTGGGCTTGCTGGCTCTGGCACTGCACTGCCCCTATAGCTGAGGTCCCCTGCCTCTGCTGCAGCTCCCCTGCCCTAGGCTCACAGCAAAGCCTGTGCCAAGGCGGGAGGGCGCCTGGATGGGCACCTGCCCCTCTCTTGCACCCTCCTTCCCCTGCCCTGCCACTTCTGCACCCCCTGCAGGCCCCCTTGACAGGGGTGGGCGGGGAAGCTTCCTGCCACATCTCTTGGCCGGGGTAATGTGGCTCCATTCCCCTACTCTCCTTCACGTGCCACATGGGCTCTGTCACATCCTGCACAGGGTGGAGGTTCTCAGGCATGTTTCACGCTGGGCCACACAGTCATCGGTGGGGTGTACTTGCCCAGCCCTCCTGTCCGTTTCCTGTGCTGATGTCTGGGACAGTGACACCAGCTGGAGGTCGCACAGAGGAGCCAGGACCTGTGGACTTTACTCTGTAGTAAGGCAGGGCTGCCACATCTGTTTCTGTCCTCAGAGAGGAGGGAATGGACAGGCTAGTCCTGCTCAGTGCAGGGGGCGCCCAGCCTGGAGGGCAGAGGTCTCCTGCAGGGGCTGAGCGTTGCCCGCTCCCACCTCCTGCTCTCCAAGGGCCTCTACCTCTCGAGGAGTGGAAGTGGAGTGGAGCAGGGCAGGTGCTGGGGCTGGGTTCTGTGCCCCATCCTGATTGGGAACACTTTCATGTCTTATGTTGACAAACGAGCACCCCGAATACAGGGGAGGGCCATGACTGCTGACCACTCCAAAACTGAGGCCACCAGCCCCGGGCTCTTTCTGAGGTGGGGACAGGGTGACAGCTGCCATGCTCAGGCTACTCCACTTCCTCCGCTGTGGTTCTGTTTGACAATTCCTCGGAGCACCTGAGTGTCTCTGCCATCGGGAAGCAGGGGACCTGGCTGGGGGCTGCTTCCTGATCTTGCACCTTGTGTCCCCAGAGGAGTCTCAGGCCGCAGGGCAGGGCAGGATGGGGCAGGCTGGGCTGCCTACCTGGCCTCCGGGCCCCAGCACCTTGGTACTGGGGAGAGCAGCACTAACGCCTGCTTCCCTCGTTTCCTGAGGCCTGTTTCTTAAAGTTCCTCCGAATATTTTATGTGGAGAAAGAAGGAAAATTTATAGTGGCAATTATTTCCTCACAGTCTGGTGAGCAAGCAATTAGAAATAAGAGGGCTTAGCAGAGCATGGCGTTCGGCAGAGCCGTGCCACGCCACTCCCCCAGAGCACAGCCCTGTCCGACAGCACAGGCTCAATCCCATGCAGGAAAATTAATCTGCCGGCATTTGAGCTGTGGCCCTCTGGTGAGTGTAATCGCTCTGAAATAGATTATCCGACGTGGTGAAAAATGAGAAGGCCAGTGGGTGAGATCTGGCTCCCTGGCCCAGCCCAGCTCTAAAGCTCTTTGCGTGTCTTCTGTCCACCCTCCTGCACCCCAGGAGTGGGGGCCTGAAGCGTGCATTTACCTTGAAGTAGCACAGCTGCTGCCCTGGCCAACGTGCCTCCCTGCCAGTCTACCCTCAGGCGACCACCCCAGTGGTGGGGTTTCCCAGCCTGACCCTGCTGCCTTCCAGGTGCATCCTGCCCAGGAGACGTTCTGTACCCAGCTGCCACTTGGCAGAGGCGTCCGTCTGTCTAGCCAGTCTGGACAGGAGGGTTGGGACTCTCAAGTCTTGCCGACAGAGTCTTCCTCCTCCTCTTCCTCAGTGCCCCCTGGTGGGCATCAGCTGCCTGTCCTAGACCAGGCCACACACCTGGTCTTGTGCCCTCCACCCTCGGCGCCCAGAGCTGCCAAATCAGAAAGCTGTCCTGGCTTGAAGAAAGAAATCTTTATTAATAACCTTAATAATAGTAATACTGTTAATTTGAGTGGTCACACCTTGGAAGCATACAGAATGGTAACAAAGGAAGCCTGGGGCTCGGCTGCAGTCCTGGGGGTGGGGGCCCGGGGCGAGGGGGATCCGAGCTGCTGCGAGAAAAGGGTCCAAAACAGCAGAGGGCACAGGGCCCTGCAGAGGACGGAGCCTGAGGCAGGCGTGGGGCTATGTACAACAGGAATAGAAAAGGATTCGTTTCCAGAGCGTCAGTAGCTGATGCTGATAGAAAGTGAGGTGTATTTTTTATTTTTGAAGTTTCATGAGACAGTGGAGCCATGTTGGGGGCCCACGTTTTTGTAATTTTTTGCTGCCTCCCTACTCCAGCTATCCGTGCCCCTCCAGGAGCTCTTGCGTGCCACCTGCCACCTCCTCCCTCCTCTGCCCGCCTGCCTGCCCGGGCCTGTGCTGCTCTTGCGACTCCCACCACTTCCACACCTGCCCAGGGAGCAGGGCCAGGCTGCAGCCTTGCCACCCCTTGCTCTGCTTGCAGGTCTGTGCTGGCTGGCACTGCCCAGGCCCATAGTGCCACTGTGACTCCCCCCTTGGAAGTGCAGTCGAGCTGGCCATCCCTTGTCCCTCTCTGCTCCCCATCAGGGAAGGTGTGCTGCAGGCCAGGTCCCAGCAGGTAGCATGAGGTCAGCCTCCTCCAGGAAGGGAGAGATGGCCACTGAGTGCAAGTCCTCTGCTTCAGGGCCCCTGCCCATGTTCACAGCACTTGGAGTGGCTCCTGGCCAGCCGGGCCTCCTGTGCTGTGCTCTGCAGCTGGAGCCCTCTCCCTTGTGGGGAGCAGGCATAGGCACCCCTACTTCTGGAGCCATGTCAGCCCTTTGCATTGGAGTCGGACCCCAGGGCAGCTGCTTGGACAGACAGCCAAGGGCACAGGGGTACTGCAGAGCCCAAGGCGGCTGGTGCCCTTCCCGCCCCCAGCCCCCCAGCACAGCCGGCCTGCTCGTCGCTCCTCCCCAGGCCAGGCCTGCTCCACCTCTGAGCCCCACTTTGTGGGGTGCAGGGCCCTGAAAGGAAGACTGGATAGAGAATGGAGCCCCTGCTGGCCACACATCCAGGCCCCTTCCCTCCAGCTCTCCCACTGAGTGGCCAGCCGGGCAGGGCTGCTCTCCAGGCGCCCGGCGGCCGTGCTCCCTCGGTGCGGGTGTGCGCCAGACGCGGACTCGGACTTGGTTGGATGCCTCTTGGTTGGGTTGGTTTTTTTGGTGCTTGGATCTTAACATCTTTTTTTGTTTTGTTTTTTGTTTTGTGATTTTTTTTGTTTTTTTGTTTTTTGCCCTTCATGGTCCAAGAAGGAAACGGTGGAAGGTTTCACTACAACAGAAACAGAAAGGCAGGACTTGCAGTTTCTCTGGAGCAGCCTGTGGCACGGGCTGGGCCCATGCTTCAAGTCTCAGCACCCCTCACCCTGCCCTCAGCTTTGGGGACCCACTCTCCCCTGCAAGCTGACCCTAAAGCAAACATGCCTCCCGGGCCGGCCGGCCGGCAACAGTGAAGGTGGGTGTGCTGCAGGGGCCTGGATGGGGCTGCAGGCTCCAGAACCAATGAGAATCTGGCTGGCAGGAGCCGCCTGTGGCTCTGATGGGGCAAGGGAGGCCAGGCCTGGCTAGCCCAATGGGACGGGGCAGGAGGTGTGGCCTGATAGGGAGGCTCAGTGGGAGGAGAGGGAGCAGGACACCCCTCCGTGTCCTTGCCCCTGCGGGGCCCACACCTCTTGTCGGCCTTGTGGTTCAGAGACCTGTGTGCCCCAGGGCTGGTACTGCCCCGGCCCTTGTCCGATTCGATGGACTCTGCCCAGCTCCCTGGGCCCTAGGCCTGACCACGTCCCATCCTGCATCTCCTCCAGGGCTCTATGTGGGCGCTGCGGGTGGCCGTGTCCCCAGGCACACAGTCCAAGTCAGGCTGCCCAGGACTCCTGGGAGGACGCCCCCTTCTGAAATGGAGCCTGACAGCGAGGCGTGCTGGTACCTGGGGAAGGGCGCAGCCCCACCCCAGCACCGAGGTGCCACCTATGGACTGCGGGCCTAGGCTCTGCCTTGGGTGCAGGGAGGACCTTTGCACTGGGCAGGGTGGGGTGGCCTTGGGCATTCCTCTGGCACTTTCTTTCCTCACGTGCACGTCTCGAAACAGCACTAAGTAGGCCCCAGGACTGGTGTGACTGTGACGGTCTGCACACTGAGCGATGTGCCTGGGACTACTTTGGCAGGAAACGTCATTGATAAAGTTTAATTAGAAATGTTAGCTTCAGCTGAAGGGGGGTGGAGACAGCTACTCCCGTGATTAGCAGACAGGTGGACAGGAGCCCCACTCGGGCTGGGGAAACCCACTGGGCAGGGGGCCTGAGCCCCTTACCCCCTACCCCCTGCCTTACTGAACACTAGGGAACCAGGCCACACCGGGGAGGCCCAGCCAGTGCTCCTAGAGTTCTGTGCAGCTGGGGCCACCAGGAGACAAGGGTGTCATCCTCCTAGGTTGCCAACGCTAGCCTGGGGGAGGGCTGCTTGTCCTCCCCAGTCTGGCCCCCACTCTGTGCATACCGTACCTGAAACGGCTCGGGGAGTACAACATCAACAAAGGCAAGATAGGAAACCACAGTTCAGACATACAGTACAGGAAAAACCAGGCTCAGAGACACACACACCGTCGTGGGCGGGGCGGGGCAGGGAGACCAGCTGGCTGCAAGTAAAACTCTATGGACTTTAGAGTCGCAGAGGGTCAGCAGAGCATTTCGCTGACCAGGAGGGTGCACTGTCCTCCTGGCGGCTGTGCCTGGTGTTGGGGCTGTGGGGTTTGGTTTGGAATAGGCAGTAGTGTGAATGCTGTTAGGGGCGGGTCTCTTGCTAGTAGGGGGTGAAGCGACTGTACCCTCCTCGGCAGAGGCTAGCCTGCAACATCAAAGATGAAAAACAGCCAATCAGTACCATCTTTTGGTAGGGAGGAAAAAGCCAAAAGAAAAAAAAATAAGGAAAAACAAAAAGAGAAATAGCTAAATCCCATTTTCTTTCCCCCTTATAGTTTCCTTGGGAAGAGTGGACATCGGATTGTTATGGCAACAGGGAGCCAGGGGCCTTGTTCCTCTATGGTTGTGGTCTCAGCCAGGAGGGTGCTCCAGGGTCTTCTGAGTAGCCTCTGGGCCACTTCTCTGGGCGAGCCCGTCGTGTCCCCATTTGTTCTCGGGTGCCCAGAGGTCCTAGCATAAGCCCGCTTCCTCATGCCCTGCAGGAGGCCCTGTGTGGGCCACTGGAGCCGGCTCTACCCTGAAGGGCGCACTTGCTGGGCACGGCCCTGGAGGGCTCTCTCTGGGGGCACCTGGGGCTGGCCCATCTCGGGGCTTCCTGGGATCGGGTCTGTGTCCTGCCCTTGCTCACCCCAGGGTGGCCCCCTCTGCCCCAGGACAGGGGCCTCCCACCCACCCACCAGTTCTGCCAGAAAAGGGAAAAAATGGCAATGCCAGAGAAGAAAAGTTGGGAGAAAAATAGAAAAAGGAAAACCTGAGCGAGAGCCCTTGTGGATTAATGAAAGCTTTTAGCTAGAAGCTGCACTAAGGGCCAAGCTGTTGAGGGGCCTCCGTGGCTGCCCACACCTCTCCTAGGCTGCTTGGGATGTCCGAGGCTTGCTCAAAATCCGAAAAGACAAGACACAAATTGGGAGGGAACAATCAAGACCAAGACAGGTGGAAAAAACAAGTCCACATTGCCTCTGAACTCCTCCCTCCTGACCCCGCAGTGTTTTCATCTTTGATGCTGGGTGCCAAGCTAGCTAAAAACAGACATTAACACTTCTGGAGTGGGGTGGGCACAAGAGGATCTGGGGTGCAGAGTGGGTGGGGCTGTATGTGTCGACAGCTGGCCAAACACACACACACACACACACACAGATACACACCCCACTGAGGCCACTGGGGAGCCCCGGAACCCTGGAGGAGTCTGGAAGGGGGGCTGGGTGAGAAGCAGTGGGTGCCCCCCCATGTGAGAAATGGCCAGTGAGGGGTTGGCTTCTACACCCCACGGAGGGGAGGCGAGGCTGGCACCATGGCCCTTGGACAAAGGGGTCTTATCAGGGCTTGGGTGAAGGGGCTCAGGAAAACAGGTGCCACTGGGGTGCTTCCCCGAGGACCAGATCTGAAAGGGGGGCCATCTACCTGGTCAGGCCTACCTCCCTTCAATGACAGAGGGCGCAAAGGGGAGAGTCCTCACCCCCCAACTCGAGCCCCAGCCCCAGGCTTCGGTCCTTCAAGAGTCACCAAAAGAGGCGCTAGCTGGCTGGAGGTCTTGGCCTCTCCTAAGGGCCCGCCCCACCCACCCATGGTGATGCACTCCCCCAGCATCGCTGGCACCCAGGGCCCCAGCCTCCTTACCATGGTTCCAATGCTATAGGTCGCTGCAGGGCCGATGGTGTGATGGTAGGGATCAGCGGCTGCGTAGACTCTGCCGTAACTAGGTGAAGAGCAGGGCAGGCACAGGGTGTGGGGGGGGCAGGTGACGAGGGGCTAAGGCCTCTTGCCTCCTTCCAGGCCCCCTCTCCTATGGTCCCAGCCACAAAGCCCCTCCCTCTCCCATGAGGCCTTCCTCACGGTCCGGTCCGTGCTTCCTTCCTGTCCGGAAGGAAGTTCCTAGGCCCCCAGGGCCTCTTTCCTTGCATGCAGTGTGTGCAGACCCTGACCATCAGCCGCACACCCTACTCAGTGCTATGCGGAAGGAAAGGAGCCCTCAGTGAGCTGGTCTGGAGGGAAATCAGCCTCCGTGGCCAGAAAGACGAGAGACAAAAGTTGAGAGAGACCCAAGAAGTAGGGACCAGGAATGTCACCACCAAGCAGGCGGCATGGCGTCCCCAGATGACCTGCCTCTCAATTAATTTGTGTAGTGACACATCAGCTTCTTAGAGGACAGGGCTGGGCCCTGGAGCTTGTGAGGCATGCATACCTGGTGAGGCTGGGCAAGAGGCCGAAAGAAGGATACAGACCCACTGCTGCTGGGATGGCAAGGGATCCCCAGGCCAGATGGGTATGTGGACAAGAGGCACAGCCACCTGGGTGAAGTGCCACTGCAGGGCCCAAGCAGGAACTCTGTAGCACCAGGCCAAGCATCCCAGGAGAAGGTGCTAGGCTCAGCCACCCCATCGGGGCACACTTGAGGTTCCTGACCCCTAACCACAGCAAGCCATCCAGGGCGTTTTTTTTCCTGGGCCTGCTCAGAGTTGGAGGAGATGGCACACAATATCCACCCTGGTGTCCCATCCCACAGGAGCTTCTGATTGCCCCTCTCACATAGGGCCTGGACAGCTGGGGCATCAGGCCCTAGGGATGGGGCACAGCGATGTTCTCTGCTACCTGAAAACTGGGGGCTCCCCTGGCCTCCCCCGCCTTGTAAGCAGGAAGTGTCTGAAGTCAGGGGTTCACTGGCCACATCTGAAATTGCTTTCCCATCCAGACCCTGCACCACTAGGCAGAGGTACCAGCAGGCCCTGATTAGGGGGTAAGGCTTCCTGTCCGTCTGGACCCAGCCCTCAGGGGACCCTGGGCTATCTTCTCCCAGAACAGCTCGCTGCCCCCAGCTCACCTGTCACTGTAGGCTGCTGCCGCTGCCGCTGCTGCCGCCGCTGCCGGCTGAGTGTATCTGTAGGCTGCATAGCCTCCCTGCAGGGCACGTAGGAGGAAGAGATGGCAAATGGACTTAGTGGGGCTCACCCAGGGGCCTGGGGCAGACACAGACTCTGCAGGGCTGGGCTCTTGGGCGGGGCTGTGACCTGCCCGACCCCTGCCTTCCTGCTTGAAGTTTAGATGGTACCTGACCTGGGCACCTGGCTTCTGGTCTGCGGGAGGTCTGAAAACTGTCAAGCAGCATGGCTTGAGACCAGGCAGGGCCATTCGTTCGTTCATTTCATTCATTCATCCATCCATTCTCACACCCATTTGTGCATTCAGCACACACTAATGGGTATCAATTATACCTCTGGGTGTTTGCTGGCCCTTGGCAAAAAGTAGGTTCCCACAGACCTACCAATGGCCTAGCAATTCTTAGGCAGGATTCTGACAGGCACGGGGAGCCCCTGTGTGACTGGATGCGACCCTGGATTCCGGACCCAGGAAGGGCCCAGGAAAGCACTGACTCAGATGAGCGAGTGACCAATTACAGGAGACTGCCCAGGACCAGGGTACAGTTGGGCACCCTGGGTGGGGTTGTCATGGAGGGCTCTGGGCCAGAGAGGAAGCAGCAGGTGCAGCCCCACAGGACCCCATCCAGGCCCCCTGTGGCCCTGCCTCCTGGTCTCTCTCTTGTGCTGGACACGAGTGTCCCCAGGGGCTCACTCAATGACCCCAGTGTGGTTAGGGGTTGGGGAGAGCCCCCGCTGCCTCCATTATACAGCGCCTTGAAAGATGGACAACCGGCCTTCGGCTGGAGATCCACTAGCAACTCCCACCATGAGCAAGAGAAACTGGACTGGGCTAGGCTGGGGTCCCCAGGGTGCCATTCTCTGCAGTCTGGGACCCTCCCCCTGGTCCCAGGGATGGGAGGGAGGCTGTGGGAGGCGACACACAGAAGGACTGCCCCCCCGCCCCCGGGCGCACTTACATAAATCTCAGCACCATAAAATCCGTCCTGATACACGACCCTGGAAGCAAACGGACAAGAGAGTGGTGGGAAGGCTGGAGAGGCGGGGTAGGCCGGCTCCGGAGTCTGCTGAGGAGGGAGGGGGCACGGTGCCAGCCCCGCCCACGGGACTGGCATTTTAACAAGCGTTTGCTCCAGTGCCCTGTTTGGTATAACAATAGAGTAACACCCTTGCTGGGCGGCTCCTTTCTCTCAAGACCCAGGGGGCCCGCGGGCCCAGTCCTGCTCGCCCTCCCCCACCCTCCCGCAGGCAACTGCCCACCCCCCAGCTCAGCGGTGGGGAGCATAGGACCCCGGGGGAAAGGCCCAGGAAGGGCTCCGAGAAGCCCTCGCTGGACCCAAGGGTCAGTGATGCCCTGCTAAGACACCCGGACCAGGTGCTGGACGGGCCCTTGGCAGTGGGGTGGGGGTGGTGAGGATGCAGCAGGCGGCAGCGACCCCGCCCTCCGCCCAGGGCCTCCCGCGCCCCGCCCCTGGCCCGCCCTGCAGCTCCCCGGCCAGGTACTCACGCTCCGTAAGTCGGGATGGGCGGCGGAGGCGGCGCAGCCCGAAACGTGTTGTACACGGCCCGGCCCCGGCCCCGGAGGTGCGCGCCCCGGTAGGCGACGGCGGTGCCGGTGGTGGGGTAGGGGAAGCCGGTCACTGCAGGAACGGAGCGGGAGAAAGAGTGGGAGAGGGAAGGCGGCGAGGGCAGGAGGGAGCCCGGGCTGCCCGCCCTCGCCGCAGTCCCGCCTCCCTCCCGTGGCCGAGCCCACCTGTCTCTGCTTTACCTGCATAGAATTCAGGCCCGTAGACCGCGCCTACCACGGGGTTTAGCTTCCAGCCTAGAACAGAAACAGGCCAGTCACGACCCACCCAAGCCCTCCCCCACCTCACCTACTCCCGGGACTCACTGGGTTCCCAGGGCGGGGCCTCCGCCCTGCCCTGTGGCCCCTTCCGAGCTGCAGCCACCAGGGACTGGAACGGCTGGGGCCATTTCACTGTCGGCCTGCCCCAGGTTCTTCTTGGAGTCTGTCCTCCAAGGTCTGCTCCCGGGCAGCCCCACCCCAAGACAGCAGTCCTGAAGCCTGAGGCGTAAGGGGAAGTGGAAAGCTGTCTACAGACTGCAGGGGTCTCAGCTGGGATGAGGGATTGTATCTTGGGGGCCTCTCCACCCCGCTTTGGCTCCCAGGGGCTCCCTCTCCCTAGTGTGGGAGGCTCTCACTGCTGTCTAGCCTCTCTACTCACCCCTAGGTAGGGCTGCTGGGACAGGAGGAGAGGGAGAACGGCCACAGACAGGGACGAAAATGATGACCATTAATAGCTCCGGAGCACCAAGCCTTTGAGGTGTCTGCCTCCAACAGGTAGACATCACACTCTCTCCATTTTACAGATAGTGAAGTGCTGGCTTGGGGGGGTGCAGGGCCTTGGGCCATGGAGGTGAGGAGGGGCGTGGGGAGGGCTGGGCCACATTTGAACCTGCGGCCTCAAGCGTCCCTTCCTGGGTCCCAGCTGGAATCTACATGTTGCTTCTCTCTTCCTGTAGGTGGGCCAGTCTTCTCCCCTGGGGATCCAGGAGCAAAGATCTGACTCCAGCTAGAGGCCCAAGGGGGTGGAAGCCAGGTGGCTCTGAGTGGGCTCCAGCCAGGCATTCAGACAGGGTAGGCAGGAGGGCTTCCTTCCCCAGGCCATCCCAGTGGCTCTTTTGGGTCCATGCAGGATCAATGGGCCCTGGAGGTTGAATGTCTGCATCAGAAGCCCTGGAAGCCTCACCTCTTACTCTGGCTTCCTGGGGGCCCCTACCTATCAGTTCTAGCTCCACCCATGTTTGCTAGCCCCATGTCTGGAATCTCACAGATCAGAGGCAACCTGAGACCCACCTGGAGGCTGCTTCGTTTCTACCTTAAGTAGGAACACCTGGAACCTGGTGGGTTGCTTTTCTACAGCAGGCAGTTCCACCAGGACTGGTGAATTTGAGCACTCAGGGTTAAAGTGCCACAGGGCACTCTCGACCAGCCACAGAGAACCCAGCGACATTCCTCTGCAGACTTCGGTCCTTGGCAGGGCGGGTGATGGCATTTAAGCGAGACTGCCCTTGCAGCACAGATGGGAAGAGATTTCTGCCTTTGTCTGGCCAGTGGACCACACCTCTCAGTGCTCCAGTCCTGCCCAGGAAGCAGTGGGAGGTGGGGGGTTTAGCAGTACTGGAGACTGAACCCAGAGCATCTCACTTACTCTAGCACTGAGCTACACCCCTAGTCTTTTTTTTTTTTTTTTACCTATTTAGAGCAGGGTCTCACTAAATGACCTACACTGGGCATGAACTTGCGGCCATCCTGCCTCAGCCTCCTGAATAGCGGTGATTACAGGCTTGTACCACCATGCCTGGCAGCACAGGGATCTTGAGTGCAGAGTGGGCAGAGGCTCCAGTGGTGTCATAGCCCCCTTGATCACCCTAACCCTGTGGATATGTCTACCGCTCTCTGCAGAGAGTTAAACCAACTGAGTCCTTTCCTTGTGGGTGGTGGGATGCAGTGACTGCAGGTAGCAGCCCCTCTCGGTAGTATATGCAGCTGTTGCCTGGAAGGGTTAAACTAAGGGGCCTTGGGGACAAACGTTCCAGTGGATGTCCACGTTTCTGCCCTGGTGCTGCCCCAGTCTAGGCTTTAGACAACTATTTGATGTGGCTTTGGAAAGCCCAGGGCGCAGTGCCAGGCATGCACCTTGGCCCAGTCACATGGCTATCCAGATCATGTCCGTCCACACCAAGCTACAGGAGCATGTGTTTGAGGGCCCATGCTGGACCACGTTCAAGTTCTCTGGCTGCCGGAAGATCCGTATCTCAAAGAAGTGGGGTTTTACCACGTTTAATGTATATCAATTTGAGGACATGATAGCTGAGAAGCAGCTCTTTCCAGGTGGCTGTGGGGTCAGCTACATCCTTAGTCATGGTCCCTTGGACAAATGGCAAGACTTCCATTCATAAGGACTTCCCATCATGCCCCCCTATAAATCCTACTTCCCTTTCTTGTCCATCTAAAACCAATGTGTACTGCTTTTATTTCCTGCGCCAGAAGCCAGATCACAGGAATTACAGCTAGGGTGCATTCTGTACTCTAGCAAAGTTGGGGGACCCCCCCCCCAGTTCTTAAAAATAGAGATTTGGGTCCTCACAACAGCAGGGTGGGAGGCACGCTATTCAACTCTAAACTGGGCCTGGTCAGAGCCCTGTCCCACCTAGGGCCTGAGCCTCGAGATCAGGTCATGCTGCAGATCTGCCCATGTCCTGCCACAGGCCTCCTGCGTGGCCGGTCATGTGACTCCAGGAGAGGGTGAGCGTGACATGGTGAATTCTATCCCCACGTGAGGAGAGCTTGCCTGTGGGAGACCTGTGCTGTCTACACCACACTGCCTGGGGCTACTAGGGAAGCTGCCCCTAGTAGGTGGTAGGAACTAGAAAAAGCCTTGATGTGTCACCAGCTATACTCAAAGAGAACCCCCTTCTGGTGGAGTAAGATGCTTTGTGGCCACCAGTGGCCCTTTCGAGCCTCCCTAGCCTCAGCATCAGCAGACTAATCTTCAAGAAAAACCCAGCACCCTACCACAGCTGGGTGCTTAGAGGACCACAGTTTAACCATGTCACTGCCCAGCAGGACTCAACCTGAGCACCTCACCCATTTAAAAAGCTTCCAACACCCAAAGGACATGGTTGCTTTTGTCAACATCAAAATATGGAGCACCTGCATCCCAGGCCCTAGGCTGGACCCAGAGATGTTATTAACAGCCTGGGACGGTGAGTGTGGGTCACTATCCTTGTCTTTCATTTGAAGAGACTGGAGCTTGGAGAGGCCTAGAAGCTTGTCCAAGGCCCTCCAGTTCCCCTCCTGGCCCCTCCTGAGCATGAGCAGGAGGCATGTCTGACCACAGGATCCTGCAAGCACGAATCCCTGGGATCACGAAGGAGTCACCTAGGAAGTCACCATGGCTCTGCTGCACCGGAAGTCTGTATACACGGCCTCTGAGTGCTGTGTGTGCTTGGGAGGCCCCAGGGGCCTCTGATGGGAGACACCAGCTGTGAGGGTTAGGCAGCTTTGCCGCCTGCGCTGACCACCCCCTTCTGGACAGAAGCATGCCGACTGGGACACCAGCAGGGTGCGGGGAACCTCACATCCAGGAGGGCAGCAGCAGCCTCCTACCCGGCCCTGAGGCTCTGGGTGTTCTGGGCCTCTTACCATTGGTGTAGGGGTTGCCGGTCTTCTTGTTGGTCATGACGCGGGCCGTGGCATTGTTAACCTGTCCAGAGAGGGGGAGACAGAGGTGAGGGGTCCTGCCCAGCCTGCTCCTGCTTCCCTCTGGCTTCTGGGGAGGGGGCTGGGGGCTGGGAGGAGGCCCTCGGGGGGACCTAAGCCGCCATGCAGCCCGGCCCAGGGCCTCTGGCTCAGACACACTGGCTTGTGCTCTTCCCAGAGCAGTTCCAACAAACCCAGCCCCAGCCCCAGCCCCTTGGGCACCCAAGACCTGTGGAGAAGCTTGCTGTGGGCTACCAGCCTGGCCCCGGAGATGTCCTCTCCTCCAGCAGCTGCCAAGACCTCCTAGGTGTGTGCCCAAGAGGGCCACTCCCCCGCCCCCCCGGAAGCACCCCTTTTCTGGTGGGGATCCTCTACTCATCTACAGAGCTGGAAGCTTCCTGATGAGGCCTGTGCATCCTGGGGGAAAAGTGGGTGGGCGTTCTAGTGGGCAGTGCCAGGGGGCTGGGTCCCACACCACACCTGTAAGTCCCAGTCAGACTGCCCAAGGGAACACAGAAAACGACTGGCCTGTGTGGAAGGGAGTCGGGAACAGAGCAGGTGGAACCTGCACAACGCTTCTGGCCTCCGCCCCCGGAGTCCACCGGGCACTGGGACAGGCCAGGGCCTTTAGCTTCAGAGCCCTCCGACCATGTGCCCTAAGGGTCCCCCTGGCTGTGGGCCCTGCTGCCCCTTAGCCCTGCTGTTGGGGGAACCAGCTCTGGGTGCCAGAGCCACAGCACCAGAGTCACAGCATGAGGCAGGAGGGGCCCAGGAGGCCCAGGCTCCTCTGTCTGCTGCCCTTCTGGCCACCGGGTGCTGCCTCTGCTTCCACCCAGGCTGGAGTAGAACAGAAGGGGACGAGGGGGGCATCGCTAGGCAGAGGGGAGGGCCAGGGAGCTACTGCTCCGGGGAGAAAGGGATTCACAGCTCCTGGCTGGGGTGGGGCGGACGGGCCCTAGTCCTTGATGCTGCCAAGCCTTGAGCACAGTTTTGGGGGCTCTGGGTGTCTGGTTGGGGGCAGGGCTCTTCCAGGAGGAGGAAGAAGCAGGGAGAGCGGAGGGACCCCTGGGTGAGCTTGAGCCTAGATCAAGCAGCGGGAAGCAGTGGGCTCCCAGGAGAGCCAGACACGTGGCGGGAGGGCAGAGCCTGGCCTCGAGGTGGCCCTTCCTCCCCCATGGAGGACCCTGGCGGGGCGCTCTGCGGGGCAGACAGCGCTCGGCTGGAGGGGGCCCGGGGAGGAGGACGGGGCAGGTGTTGGCCACGGCCTCCCTGCCGCCGCCGCACACTTATCTGAGCACCTCAATTTTCCGTCCCTCTACGATCGTGCCATTCAGCTTCTCCCGGGCTCGGTCAGCATCTGAGCTAGTTTCAAAAGTTACAAACCCAAAACCCTGCGAGCAGAGGAGGACAGACATGGAGAGAAGACAGGATGAGAAAAAGGGGCAAAAGGAGGAGTGGGGGGCAGGGCCATGGGGAGAGGGAAGGAGAGAGAGAGGGAGAGAGAGAAGGGGCTGAGTCAGGGGGATCCAGGGAGAGGCTCGGGCAGCCCAGAGGTCATCTGGTGCCACCGGCAGGATGCACAGGGGTGTGGGCCCCAGGGTGGGCAGCTGCTGGCCTCCTGAGCCCAACCTGAGCTGACAGCTGGCACCTCTGAGGGACAGGCCAAAGCTGCAGAGATGCTAACCTGCCCAGGGGCTGAGGCTGGGCTTCAGGATGTCCAGGGGCCATGGCGCCACCCGCCTGTGCCCTAGGAGCCCAGGGAGCTGGGGTCTCCCTCTCCTGGGGGGAGCAGGGTTCGCTGGGCACCCTCCAGGCCTGCTCACCCTGCAGCCCCTCCCCAAAGCCTGCAGGCGAGGTCCAAGGGCAGCTGAGGGCCTGGGGGTGAGTGGACAGGCGGGAGTCCCAGGCCCAGGGCGGGGCTCTGGAGTGCAGGCAAGAGGTCCTGGCAGCTCAGAGAGAAGAAGCAGCATGGCAGCAACAACACAGACAGCTGGGGCAGGGTAGGAGAGCGGGGAGTACAAGCACCCGTGTTGCTCAGGGGTCCTCGGGCACGAAGCTCTCCAGGAAGGAAACGCACATGTCACACGTTAGCCTGGCAGGACCTACAGCCGGAAACGGTGGCAGCCTCTGCACGGCACCCACCTTGGAGCCCCGCTCGTTAAAAATGATCTCCACGTCTAAAATCTTTCCAAATTGCTGCAAAGACAGAGACAGAGAGGAGGGTGGGAGACAGGAAAGGGTGCGTAAGAAGGCGGTCAGGCTGTCCCCTGCGGCGGTCTTGATGCCCAGGTGTGGGGATGAGAGCCCTGGGGTCCCCTACTCCTGCCTCCAGCACCTGCCCATGGACCCCTGGGGCGTCCTCCTTAGGGAGTGCATCTTGCCTGGACCCTGGCCACATCAGCCGGCAGACCGGGGATGGGGTGTGGAGCTGTCCAACCAGGGCTGTCCTCCCCCAGCCTCCAATCTAGGCAAGGTGGGGACGCCCTGCCACCCCACGTTCACATTAAGGGTTACAGGTCTACAGAGAGGCCCTTCTACAAGGGATGGGGAGGGGCAGGCAGAGGCATAGCTGGGACCAGGAAATGGGGACCTTCAGGCTTCCCTTCCGTGGGAGGAACAGAGCGATCCAGCCAGGGCGAGGTAGGTGGGGAGGGGAAGAGCAGAGGGATGAGGATGAGGGAGGGGCCGTGGGCCTTGCACCCGTGTCCTGTGTCCCGTGTGCCAGGTGGGGCCAGGTCGTGGGTGGGGTACAGGCGGCAGTGTCCAGAGCCCAGGCTCCGGCCTGTCCAGGATGCACAAGACAGTCTGGTTACCCCTTCCTGCCTCGAGGGCAGTGTGAGGCTGTGACTCCTTGAGGCAGGTTCCTGAAAACCACCCGTGGGGTCCTTAGGGGGCTGATCTGAAGCTCCTGCGCCAGCCGCCCCTGGAGTCAGGGGAAGGGAGGCTCGAGGCCTAGGGAGCTGGCAGCAACAAATGCCAATCTGCCAGGTTCTGGAAAGGGGGACCCACCGTCCCCATTCTATGAGCCCAGGTCCCGACGTAGCCTGGGGCCAGTGAGTAGGCGCACCACACGTCTGCCGTCCTAAGGGGAGGGGCTCAGAGAGGTCTGGCAGCACCTGAGCCCCCATAGGGCCAAGGGGGGATACAGCCTTTCCCCTGAGGACCAACAGGCCAGCCCTGTGGTGAGTCCAAGCTCCAAACCCAAGGGCCCGGGCCCCCGGACAGGGAGTGCACTTCTGGGCTCACCTAGGGATGGGTGCTGGGACTGTCCTCTTGGGCTGATGCAGCCTGTTTCCCTGACAAGTCCCTGCTGTGTGGGATGAGCCTGAGGGGCTGGCTGGGGCTCAGAGCTGCCCCACTGTGTAGGGAGCCGGGGATGGGTACAAGAGACACAGGCCAGGTGGCACCGTCCTTTGTGGTTGCACTGCACCCAGCCTGTTTCTCCACCTCAGCCCCAGTGCCACAGGACAGAACTGGGGGCAGCCCTGCACGTTCTCACGGGGCCTGCAACTGCTGGAACCCAGGGTGCAAACCCCAGATTCAGGAAGGGAACCCTCACTGTGCATTTGCAGGTCACCTCACCTGGGGACCAGGAGGGCTCAGGCCCGGGCGGGGGATGAGTGGTCCCCAGGCACACAGAAGGCTGTGTTCCCAGGAGGCTGGGCTGTCCCTCCAGGGTCCTCTGCTGGGGTCAGGAGCCAGAAAGCAGGAAGCAGAGACTGATAACCCAGCGGACTCCAGGAAGCTCCCGAGGACAGGGGACACAGGTGTGGGGGTTTCTGGCCAGGGAATGGGCTGCCACAACAGGCCTCCCGCCCTGCCCCACAGGGTGCCCAGGCGGGAGGGAGCCACAGGTGCGGGGAGGGTTGGACCAGCCCGAGCACACTCACCCCGAACATTTGCCGTAGGTCGGGGTCCCTGAACCGGAAGGGGATGTTGGAGACGTGCAGCCGCTTGGGCTGCTGCTTCTCTGTGGGGTCGGAGGGGTGGAGTGGCTGGCTGTCCGTCTGCGCCGCCTCATCTGTCTGCTGTGGGGAGAGGACAGGCTGTGGAGGCCACCTCCAGATGGCCAGGGCCCGCCCATCCCCTTGACCACAGGCCTCTCTGCACATGAATGGGGGCAGACGACGCCCACAAGGTTTGCAATCCAACCTCCGAGGCGCCAGCTCCAAGCTTTGCCCAGGTGGTACCAGTGAGGCCATCCCCCACTGCCACCCCAGTGCTGACTCCGGGCCGGCCTGCTCTGCGCTGATGTCAGGACCAGATAGACTTCGGGATGGGCCTCTTGGGCACACATATCTGTCCCGGCCCGCGGGTAAGTCAACGGAGACCCTAGAGGGGCAGTGAGAATGACAAGGGACAAGAGACACGAGAGATGGAGACAAGACAGGTTTCTGATCTAGTCTCGTTTATTGCGGAAGCTGCTACAGCATATGTACCGTAAGGCTAGAGGGGAGGAGCAAGGGGAGGGTACTGGGGCTACTTCCTTGTTGCCGGGTAGACTTGCTGCAGGCCCAGACATGCCCGTAAAAGGCACTCAAGAGTTCTAGCAGGGGGTGGGCAAGGCCCCCCACACATATCCACAGGATGTCCACCCCTCACGGCCATCCACAGCACAGGCTCCTTATTCTAATCCTGCTGCCACTGCCACTCCAGGCTTGGGGCGGCCAAGGTCAGTCGTGTAAAGGCCATCCTCATTTAGACCCAAACACTGGCTGACAGAGGGCCCCGAAAGACTTAGGTTACAGGAAACAAAGCTGCTGTGTGCCTGTGAACCCTGCACAGGTCCTGGTGAGGAGGCTGGGAGCTGAGACAGCATGTGTGAGCCTCTGTGTGGATGTCTCCAGTGGTCAGGCCGTGCGCTCGCCGCAAAGCTGGCTTCAACCTGGCTTGGTCCCAGCTACACTTGGAGAAGCAGCAGCAGACTGGGCATGCGCTTCATCAGCCCCGAGGGCCGAATGGATGGTGGATGGAGGTGGCTGGGGAGCTCATGGCCCTTGGACGCACTGAACAGTGTCCAGAGAGGTCTTCCGCACAGCAGAGGCTGCCCACTGCTCCTACCATGGGGCTCCTCTGAGAGGGGTCACTGTCCCCAGCTCTCCCAGTGGTGCTAAGCTCAGCTGCCATGAACACACTTTCTATGAGCTTCCTTCCCTTCCTGCCCTGATGCCCTGCTGGCCCTCTGGGCTGGAAGGATAAATTCCCCAATACACCGCTCACACTTGAGCCCTTGTCCTGGGTCTGCTTCTAAGACAAGACACCAGCTGATGACACTGGGGGGAGGTGGTGTCTGGCTCCAGCCACCCTGAGCCTTTCTGGAGCTGAGATGGGGCAGGTAGGGTCCCTGGGGGCCTGTGCTGGAACTGAGACAAACCAAGGTGCTGGTAGCTGTGGTCTTGTATGGCAGAAGGAACAGAGGCATGGGTCCCAGCAAGAGGGAAAAAGCTGAGTTTGGAGGCACAGAAACAAACGCCATGGTGTCCAGGAAGGGCCTGGTTTACATAGTCGTGTGTGTGTGTGTGTGTGTGTGTGTGTGTGTGTGTGTGTGTGTGGTGTTCACTGCCAACAGGAGCAGGAGAGATGATGGATACGCCTCCCTCAGTTGTGACAGTGAGGGGCAGCCCGAGGTGACCATGCCCAAGGCCTTGTTCTGCAGCTGTAGGAATGGAGGCCATCGACAGAGTCTTCCCCATGCCACACTGTGGCTAATGGAAGAGGCTGGTCTCCAGACTCCAGCTAGAGTGGCCATCTAGCTCTCCCTGTCCTTTCTGGAGAGATAGGTTGTCTTGGCTAGGAGGCCTCCTATCAGGCTTCTGCTGCCCTTAGGTGACCATAGAAGCCACCACCCCATGGGCTTGCTGAAGGCCCTGATGACAACCCAGGTTGTAACTAGGCAGGGACTGGGTGGCCTGCAGGAGTGTGGAGCTTCCTGCTCAAATGTCCTCAGATGTAACATCGCTTTCCTGTGCTGGGAGGTGGGCTCAGGCTGTCCTTGTGTCACTTAGAGCATTATGCGGTCGGTCTGGACAACTTGGCCATCCCAAGCATGTCTGGCCAATTCTGACAAATGTTCTTGAAGCAAAGTGCCACCAGGGTGGCGATGGCAGCGACAGGGGCTGGGCTCCAGCAGGAAAGCATCAGTGGTGGATCAGCTGGTGGGGACCTCTAGACAGCCGTGGTCTGGCCGGCATCAGATCCCCACCTCCGATGGAGAGGGCAGGGCAGCTGTCTTTGGCTCCACAGGACGCACGAGGGGCTCCTCCAACCACACCCTGGGGTCTGGAGAGGCCCTGTAGCCTCTAAGCTCAGCTGCCATCCTCGGACCCAGACAGCAGGCCTGTGCTGGACTCCAGATGGCTGACCAGGTCCTTGTCCGAGCATCCCAGGTCCTCGAAAAGATCTGAGCCCCATTGCCTGGCCACGGGAGGTACAGCTCCTTTTTCTCCTGTGGACTCCATGCAGTGGTCCTCACCCCTTCCTGTGCACTCCCCGTGCCCTGGGCTGCTCTTGGTTACAGGTGTCCAACCCGGTCATTCTGGGTCAGGACATGCAGTACTGGTTTTTGATCACCAGAGGGCAGCGGTCATCACAGCCAGGTGGCCACCCAGAGGAGCCCAGGAAGCCTTGGCAGAGACGCCAACAGGAAGACAGCCATAGGATGGCACTGATGAAGTTGGGGCGCCTGGAAATGGGGCACCCCAAATCCCACCTCAAGACCCTAAAGGAGTGCAGCCAAGGGGCTGGTGAGAGGAAAGGGTGAGGGGCATGTGTGGGCTGAGCCACAAGAGGCTAGGATGCAGGAAGCAGGAGCACCCGAGCCTCCCCTGCCCTTTGCCCAGCAGTGGACAGAGGCAGATAAATGGGTTCAGTGAGTGTAAAACTGTAAGATGTGCTGAGAAACCCCAGAGCGAACCGCGTGCGCTGCCCCTGAGCGGAGATGCAGACCTGCCCACCAGCTATCACAGCAGTGCAGGCACGTCCACCGCCCGCTGCCTTTCTTTTTCCGAGGGGCTTTCTTTCTTTTTTTAAAAAAGAAAAAGCAATCTTTGCTTCTTCCAGATTTCAAATACAGAGAAAAAGGAAACACCAATGGTAAGGAAACACCTCCAAATGCCAGTCCTGGTGGCTCACCTTCGGTGTCTCCACTCAGCCTTTACAGCCCTCCCGCTCCAGCCTCCACCATTCAATCAGGTACCAGCTCCTGGAGGGCCTGGGCAGGTCTAGATGCCCAGGGCATCTCCCACCTGCAGAGGAGCCTGCAGCTCCTGCACCTGGGTCAAGGTCAGCACAGAGAAGTGAAGAGAGTCAACAGGAGGATGGGTCCAGGTGGGCCTTGGGCAGCAGGCAGGTGGCCCGGTGGCCAGGCTGGAGCCAAGCTTTGCTGATGAGGCACAAGGCAAACTGGACTCTCTGCAGCCCATCTCTGCTCATCTTATCCCTCCAGGGGCCGCCGATGATCCAGCTGTTAGTTCTGGTGGCCGAGGTGGATCATCCCCGGCCAGCTCTCGGACCCCACCTGCTGGAAGTGTGTTCTTCAAAACCCAGTGCCCTGGCCAGCCCCTCCTGGGGCTTGTGCTGCTGCTTAGATTACAAACGACAGACATGCTACTTTAAGCATCTTGCTGGCCACTGAACGCACTTGAGGCATCTGAGGCTGACCTGCCACGTCCTTGCCTCCACCCCTACAGCCTGGGGCACCATGGCTGAGTGACCATGGCATGGTTTGCCACCTTTCTCTCTGAGAATTCACCTGCCTGTTAATCAGCAATGTTTGGCAACTTGCCCTCGTGCTGGGGGTGTTAGGAGGGAACCTAAACTGGCTGGAACAGGATTTCCCCCAATTATCAGCTGGAAACCCTCCTGAGGCAGGAGAACAAAAAGCTCAGTGGATCCAGAAATTCCAGGGAAGTCCACCTTTTCTGAGCTGGAGTCCAGCCTGTGTTTTTGGGCGTGCTGGCTAGGGGAGAGGCAGGGGAGGGTGTGTGGGCTGTGAGGCCACCACTCCTTCCCATCCATCAGTCTCAGGCTCAAGGACTGCCCAGGCCACTGGCGTCACCTTGGGCCAGGCAGGAGCAGCCTTGCAGAGGCCGTCTGTGGTGCATGAGGGGGAGGCTGGGGGTGGAACTGCACTGGCTCTGAGTCTCCTCCCTGCTGGCCCTGGCCGCAGCTCCTGCCAGGGCAGCTGTGCTTACCAGCAGAAGGAAGATCCTCTGGCGGGGAGGGCAGGGAGGCTTCGGGGCCTTTGCAGCACGTGGGCTGTGGAAGGTAGGAGGCTTTGTGCCCTGACCTAGTGCTAATAGCAGGTGCCTGAGGGGCCCCCTAAGGGGACTTCCTGTGTGTGTGTGTGTGTGTGTGTGTGTGTTGCGGGGAGAGGCCAGGGCACTTGGTGGCTGTACCCCGAGAGCTCAGTGGAACCCTAACCCAGCTGGGAGAACCCAGGTTTAGACCAAAGCCCAGATCCCACCCTGCCTGCCATCCCGGTGCCCCTTGCTCCCAACTCCCGGCTGCTCGGGGAAGGACCAAGAGGAGGCTGAGTGAGCTGAAAGAACCCTCCTAACGTCTGCAAGGACAGGACAGTGACACCTGACCCAGCACACGGACATTTGGCCTTTGCTACCACTGCCAGGCAGCTTCTCTGGAAGGAAGGTGGCTCCGGGAATCTTAGAACATCCTCCTTTCCAGCTCCCTCTCAAGGTGGCAAGCTCTGCCTGAACAGGTGCCCCAAGGTCTTCGAGGCCTCTAGATGCACCAGGTCTTTGGAGGTAGTCCTGATGTCAAGGTCTTCTTGCTAGTGCTGGCCCAGAACCTTCCACCTGCAGCCTGCATGCAGCTCCAGGCCAAGAACAACAATCTCCCCTCTGTAGCGTGGCCCTGACCCCTGTTTGGGACCTGAGGACCAGCCCTCGGGGAGGAAGGTCAGGCCACAGTGCATCCAGGCTCCAGTGTCTCTGGCCCAGTTGTGTTCCTCGGGATGTGCAGGGACACTGGCAGGATCCTCCAGGGCCACCCATCAGATGTTTCTGTTAGTGACCAGCAGGTACCAGAGGGCAGAGCTGGCCACTTCTCTGCACCCCAAGAGCTGATTTAGTGCCTGGCACACAGTGGTGTGGCACATCCATCTGGGTAAGTGCAGGATGACAGGGGTGTCATGCAGGTCCCAGGGTGTCCAGAGGCCAGGTGCTCATCCCTCCTGCTCAGCTGTGAGCCATCAGCTCTCGCCCCATGTCATCGGTGAATCCAGCCATCTTGTCTCCTTCATTCTTCCAGGCAAAGCCCCCTGGCTCACCTTGCAACCCCGCTTTGTTCATAAGGAGGCTGTCAGAGGCTGCACTAGCGGGGCCTTGTCTGCTGTAGTCCCTCAGAGGAGACCCGAGCTTCTCTGGCGTCAGGAGTCACACCTGTGTCTACTCTGAGCACACAAAGGTTGTGAGTTTGATGGATCCGAGACAGGGCACCTGGGAAGATGGTTTGGCTCCCGGTTCTAAAGGCTCTGGGTCTGGCCTTGTGCATCGGTGGTCCATGGCTGGAGGAACCCTGGAGGGAACCCTTGGGAGACATCTGCACCATGATGCAGGTGGGAGGGATGGAAAGTTCTGACAGCTTCCGAGTAGACTCAGGCTGGCAGCGCTTGATGAGAGGAAGGGGCTGGCTGGGACTAGATGAGGCTGGATCCTGCCCAGGGGCAACCGGGTGGGCTCTCCAGACAGACTGGGTGACATGTGAGGGAGGGGAGGGTAACCTCTGGATCCATCCTGGATTGGGGGATGGCTGAGGGAGCACAGCTGGGGTCGCTCCTCGAGTGCAGTGTGCTGGCCTCCTGCCCAGCCCCGACCAGCCAGCACAGCCAGATGCTGGGACCGAGCCAGCAGGGATGGTGGGGTGAATCCAAAGTCCCAGAGCAGGGGCTCGGGGAGGCCCAGGGAGAAGGAGCAGCAGGGGGCCGTGGGCAGTGGGGTGGAGGCAGGGCTGGGCAGCTGCCCACTCCCACACTGCGGTGGGGGCTGCCTGGATGGAGCCCACCCAGGAAGGAGGCTGCTCCTCACCAGCTCCATCAGGAAATCTGAGAAGTGGAGGGCTCAGCACTTTCGCCTCTGAGCTGCATTACAACCACATAATTGAAGCTATCTGATTGGAGGGCAGCCAAGCAGGTAGATTACAAGTGATTAGAAATGATAGGAGGGCCTGCAACTCGAGACAGCTGGGCTGCCCCCCCCCCACTCGGCTTGCCCTGCAGACCCCGTGGGCCCAAGCCCCGGCCTCCCCAGCTCCCTTGCTTTCCATTAACAGGTCACTGGCCTGGCCACGGAGGACACACAACCCACCTCCCAGATAAGGTCAGAATCCGCCTGAGGCCAGAGACAGCTCGGCAGACGTGGTCATGCCCGACCCCAGCCCACCCCTTTCCTTCAGGATCCTTGGGGACCGGAGATGAGGCGTGCACGGTCCAGGACGCGGGACCAGAGCTGGTGTCCTACACAGGGGCCCTTCTGAGCCACCCCCTCCCGGACGCTCCGCCCTGTTGGGCAGGGCAGGGCCCCTTACCGGCACTGTCTGGGTCCCGGCGATGGGCTGTGTGCTGGCCTCGGCGCCCGGCTGTTCGGGGCGGGTCTGTGCTGGTGTGTACAGGGTCATGCCGTGCTCTGGGGCGACAGGGGTCTGGCCCGAGTAGTCCTGCGTGGGGTGCGGCGGGGGCGGGGCGTACTCGGTAGGGATGCCGTTCTGAGGCGGAGGGGGGTACTGGGCAGGGGGGTAGGGCTGGGCCATCGCCTCAGGCGGAGCCGTGGCGTCCTGATTGCCCTGCGGAGGGAGAGAGCAAGGCCAGGTTAGGATCTTTCCCTTCCCACGGTCCGCCCGGTCAGTGGCTTCCAGCTGGACAGAGATTTTCCGGGGCTGGACACAGTACTATTAGGGACATCAGCTCAGGTAAGTAGGAGGTGCTGGGCTGGGCATCCAGGAGCTTAGGTCCAGAGAGAGACCCCTGGGTGCAAGCCCACTTGCATTTGTTGGACCTGAGCCCTTCAGGTTATTTTTTTTTAACACTTCAGTTTTAAAAACTGATCACTTTATATTGTGTATAAACTGTAGACCCACATGCAGTTGTGAGACATAACTGCGCTCCTGCATACCTTCTGCCTGGTGTCCCCAACAGTCGTGCCCCTAAGACCACCGTCACCAGGATGGCAACACTGGTCACCCAGCACAGGATGGGGTCTTTATCACCAGCCCCCGGCCTCGTTCAGGCCTTGGGTTTCCTGCTGAGAGCAGGGTGTGAGGTGTCACAGCCACCTCAGGCTCCTGGAGCTCACTGTGCAGAAGCCAAAACAACAGTGTCACAGGGCCTGGGAGCTCCTGTCCCTGTGGTAAGTCTCCCACGAGCTCCCAGAGACCCCTCCTGGCTCTCTCGAAGGCCTGCTGCCCAGGGAAGGGACACGCACTCTCTCATCATTGAGTGCAGCTGCTCCTTGGGGCTTTTAGAGGCCAGGTCCGTGGTACAGCTCCTGCAGTGCATTAGGGCAGTGCTTCTTGAAGTAGGGGGCCCAGACCCACTATTTGCACACTGGGGAGCTATGCCGGTAGCTGGTGGTGCAGATCCTCAGGCCTACCTAGGCCTCCTGCATGCTGATGAGGCCACTGATGGGGGTGGGGGCTCCAGCCGCTCACCCCATCCTCCCCTGCAGACATGCTCTCAGTGCGAGCCCCACCGAGCAGGTGAGATGTACCCCTGCCATTCCCCATTGGAGCAGCCACCAAGGGGAGGCCTCCTACCCAGACACGGGCGGGTCTGACATGGTATGTGGTCCCCCACGCCCCACTGTCTCCTTGAGCAGCCTGGGACCAGCACACCTCATTCCCAGCAGACTGTTAGTGAGCACCTGCTGGATGTGGGCACCCAGCAGGCTGCCCTCCCACTCCTGTCCCTCTGACACCTCCAGTGGCAGGCCAAGTGGCTTCTCTGACAATGGGGGACCCCTTCCATACACCATGCTTCCCTCATGGACCAGCCCCCCATGCTTTGCCCTCTGGAGAACATGGCCCTGCACTCCTTGTACCCTTCACTCGGAACATAATCGACTCTTCCTGGGACCCGACTCTTGGGCATCAGGGGAGTGTCAGGCTGCAGCCAGGCTTGGCTGTGTTGGGGAGTGAGAGGGCAGGCCCTGCCCCTGTGGAGCTTGCATCCAGCAGGAAAGGAAAATCTAGACTGCAGCTGTCCCGATGTCGAATCACCTGTGAAGGCACCAGGTCCTCTGAGGGCCTGGCTGCCATAGGGCCACGTGCATGAGTGGGATCTGCTCAGATGCCTATGTCTGCCTGCACCCCACAGCCCCTGGAGCCACTCATGCTGGGCTCTGCAGTGGCGCTGTCACCGAGAGGGAAGCTTCAGGCACAGAAGCCCTCTCCTTCTCTTCCTCCCTCCTCCTCCTCTACACAGCTGCCAGTCCCTTCCTCTCTGCAGTGAGTCTGAAACTAGGGCATCACTTGGGCTGTGAGGGACACCTCCCCGCCTTGCTGGAGGTCCTTGTCTCACTGGTCCATATAGCTCAGGAAGCCACATCATCCCCTGTCAGCAGACAAGCTGGGGTCCAGCAGGGGAAGGGGGACCTAGAGTGGGGGAGGGAAGACAGAGGACAGGGCGCCCAGCAGAGGTGGAGGAGCGCCTAGCACCTGGAGTGGCTCATGGAGGGATGAGACACAGACACAGCACAGCGCGACAAGGGGAGGGCCATCGGCGGGCCTTGGCAGTCATGGGGAAAGATCAATTCACTGATAAATATTTGATTAAGCCATCACTAACTTACACTGTCTTCCCAGCTCCCCTCTCCCCACTCCTTCACGACCTGAGAAGGGATGGGCTCCCTGCCCATCTGCTTCCTTCTTGGTGAGCTCTCACCTCTCCCCAACGAGCCCTCCCTGGGTCCCATTTGGGGCCAAGTGACAGCTGCCAATCACACCCACTGTGATGGTTCCCACAGGGCTGGAGCCCAGAGCCCAGAGCTAGAGGGCACAGTCAGGGACCTGTCAGCAGTGTGTGCCAGTTCTGAAGGGGCTTGGGGTAGGCAAGGGCCCCTGTGAGATGGGGACATTTGAGGGACACTACACATTTGAGCACACAGTGCTCTTTGCTTTTACAGAGACTCATTTAATCCTCCTGAATCCCACAAGGTGGACACTGAGGGTCGGAGACTCTGGGACTTGCCAGGCTGGTACAGAAGCCAGGATAACAGTGTAGGTGGCCTGGGTCCCAAACCCACTTGGCTGCAGACTGGCCCTTCCAGGGAGGGTCCTGCAGGGGAAGACAGTGACAGCATCTAGACCCCAGAATGCACAGGAATGAGCCAACAGGTGGTCACAGGTGGCATCTGTCCTCTCTGCAAAGGGTTCTCCATCTGCAAATAGTCACTGCAATGTCCCAGCCAAAGGAATGCAGAATAAACCAAGCTATCGTGACTTGGCAGGCCCTGGGGTGATCCTCGACACCCGTGTCTGGTGTTTCCTCTATGCCATGTTGGGGGCAGTATGGAAAGCTGGCTGCACTTCCCAACCATTTGATGAGGTTTAATAATGTGCCATGCCACCCCGAGCAACTGAGGCCACTTGCAGCCCACATTTCCCAGGAGGTTCGGATGTGGCCCTGGTAGAGAGCCCTGGACCAGACTCCATGGAAAAGCTCAAGAGGAAACACAAGTGCCTGGCCCATCGAAGGGGAACAGCCAGTGTTTGTCCCCTTCCTGTTCTTTCTTCTTCTCAGGTCTGCTGGGGCCAGAGTCAGCAAGGATCTGGGGCTGGAAGGCATGAGTTGAAGAGTTCCCTGCCAGGCTGTGGGGCTTCCGATGGCATCATTTGGAACAGCCGTTTAAAGTGTCTGGCTCTCCAGGGGATGGTGAATTCCCAGAGCAGGGTCACCTCATTCGCCCTGTGTCTCCACATTCTTATGCCCAGCACAGCACCCTGTTGCACTTGGAGGAATCTCAATGAGTGGGTGAATAGATGGATATATGGATGGATGGATGATGGGTGAGTGGGTGTTATGGCTTGTATCTAGATGTCCCCCCAGAGCCTGATATGGTCATAGGTGGAGCTTTTAGAGGTGGACGGATCTAGGGTGTGTGATGCTGGGATCATGGATGTGATGCTGGCATTGATTCATGATGCAATGCTAGGGTTAAGGCTGTCCCACTTTGGATGTGAGTAGCACCCGCCCTAAGGGTGGGTAGCCTGGATGGGATATAAGGGACAGAAAGAGTGTCATTGCTGTTGCTTGTTGCTTTGCTTCTTCCCTATTTTGCTGCTTTGCTGTCTCTGCCCACCATGAACTGTTTCTCCTCTGCGATGCCCCTCTGCCATGCTATCCTGCCTTGAGGCCAGCTGCCTATGGACTGAAACCTCTACAGACTGTGAGCCAAAACAGATCTTCCTTTAACTCTGGGTGTTAGGTATTTTGTTTCAGCAATGAGGAAAGTAACTAAGACAGTGGGTGAGTAGATGGATGGGTATGGATAAATAGAAGAATGGCTAGGTGGATAGGTTCATTGGATTAATGAATGGGTGGGTAGAAAGATGGAGGAATGGATGGGTGGGCAGATGGAAGATGAACAGATGAATGAGCTGAAAGACCAGTCAGGTCATTATCCCTCTCCCTCCATGAGCTTGGCCCTTTCTCTCATTATCATGTTTGCCTGGCAAAACCGATAAGATCCAGCTCTGCCTTCTTCACTCCATGGTCTACACTGAAGGAAGAAACCACAAATTCATCCTGGATCCATGGCCACTCCCAGTTAGGATCCATGACCACCTTTGGTGTCATTCAGCTTCCACACTCTGAATGACTGTTTCATTCTTCCTCAACCTACTACGTGTCTGCTCTCATCCTCACTTTGGGTGATGGCTCCATTTTCCACCTTCTGCAGAGAATAGAAAAGAATGTCCAGGCCCCGCCACCCACTTTCTATTGCTGTATTCTTCCTTCCCTGTCGCTCCTGGAGAAAATCATCCAAGCTCCCATGTGGCACCAATGACCCCAGCTGCACATGGAATATAGCCCTTTTCACCAATGTGTGCTCACGGCTCTGGCAATTAGCCCCCCGCACCCCAGGGTCTTTGGTGAGCAGATGGCCTATAATCACTCCTGTGCAGTGAAAGAAAACCCTGCTTGGTCCCACAGCTCCTTCATCCTACAAACCGGATTCCTTGCTTTCCTTGGAGCAAAGCTTCCTGAATGAGCTGTCTACAGCTGCAGCCCAGTGCCTTTGCTCCGGTTCTCTCTCAGTCCCACTTCTAACCAGCTTTCTTTGGCACCAGTCCTTAATGCCAAGGTTGGTTCAGGTGCCCATTTCCGCCATATTGAAAAGCCAATGGTCAGCTTCTGGTCCAGTTCGATGAGGCTCCTCCACAGCCCAGGCTACAGATGACAGCTCCTTTCTCTAGGGAGAGTTTCTTGTCTTGCCTGTGCTGCCCCACTCTCTTGGGTCCTACTTTACTGAAAGCTGCTTCTAAGTCTGTTCCAGCTCCCTGTGCATCTCTCCAACCTTTGTACAGAGCTGGGCTCTGAGGCTCAGTCCTCAGGCTTCTCTGGCTCCACTCACTCTCTGAAGGTTTCCATTCAGTCTTAAAATTTAAAATACCCACTATGTGACAACCCCCATTATCTTCATCCTCAACTCTCCCCAGAATTCCACCTGCCCCACAGCAGTCTCCTCTCACGTATGTAATACATAGTTCAGGCCTGGCATGTCCCGAAAGGATCCCTGCTTTTTTGGGTCAAATTGGCCTTCCCCTTCCCGTGACAGTCCAGCATT